AAAATTAAAAATAGACCTACCCTATGACCCAGCAATAGCACTGCTAGGAATTTACCCAAGGGATACAGGAGTACTGATGCATAGGAGCACTTGTACCCCAATGTTTATAGCAGCACTCTCAACAATAGCCAAATTGTGGAAAGAGCCTAAATGTCCATCAACTGATGAATGGATAAAGAAATTGTGGTCTTTATACACAATGGAGTACTACGTGGCAATGAGAAAGAAGGAAATATGGCCCTTTGTAGCAACATGGATGGAACTGGAGAGTGTGATGCTAAGTGAAATAAGCCATACAGAGAAAGACAGATACCATATGGTTTCACTCTTATGTGGTTCCTGAGAAACTTAACAGAAACCCATGGGGGAGGGGAAGGAAAAAAAAAAAGAGGTTAGAGTGGGAGAGAGCCAAAGCATAAGAAACTCTAAAAAACTGAGAACAAACTGAGGGTTGATGGGGGGTGGGAGGGAAGGAAGGGTGGGTGATGGGTATTGAGGAGGGCACCTTTTGGGATGAGCACTGGGTGTTGTATGGAAACCAATTTGACAATAAACTTCATATAATAAAAAAAAAAGAAAATGTTTTGCCAGTTTGAGTTGTGATGTGCTTTATAATTATCGTGCTTTGGTTAGAGTATTACTTTTTCTCGGTAATGTGTTTACTATAGAAAAAATAGAAAGTAGATAAATAACAGAAAACATTATCCGTAATCCCATATCTTTGTCCATTTAGGGCCTCTGGTTATCAGAAATGTTTTTATGAGGGGCGCCTGGGTGGCGCAGTCGGTTAAGTGTCTGACTTCAGCCAGGTCACGATCTCGCGGTCCGTGAGTTCGAGCCCCGCATCAGGCTCTGGGCTGATGGCTCAGAGCCTGGAGCCTGTTTCCGATTCTGTGTCTCCCTCTCTCTCTGCCCCTCCCCCGTTCATGCTCTGTCTCTCTCTGTCCCAAAAATAAATAAATGTTGAAAAAAAAATTAAAAAAAAAAAAAAAGAAATGTTTTTATGATGATAAAGAAATAATTTACTTGCTATCCCATGCTATTTTCTAAAGAGATTAAGTGCTAAGGAAGGTTATTATCTGCTGACCTGGTTACGGAGGGAAGAGGGTGGATGGGAGAGAAGCAGCAAGAGGCCAAGAGGTATGTTGTAGAGAATGCGGGGGAATTATAGGGAGTGGGTTGGGAATTGGAGGCCTGGGAAAGAGCCTTGATGAATGGAGGAGTGCAGTGACTGCCAAGACCCAGGACCTGTGGGCTGAGGTGTCAGTGGCCAAAAAGGAACTTGGAGGAAACCAAGGACTTTGAAAGGGAATGGTTGTGAAGTTTTGCTGGATAGGGTGATGGAAAATGTCTTCCCTATTTCCCCGTGACATCTTCAGGAAAGCATTTATTTCTCATGACTGCATTGTGGAGTTGAAGCTACTGTGGGATGCATTGCATTGTTTTCTTTGAGAAGGTCACGGAGAAAAAATAAAAGCTGTTGCTAGAACACCCCCCCCCCTAGCATTTTGGGTGCCTGTTTGTGCGTGTGCATGTATCTTTGGTATACAATGGGATCGATATGGATGTGATTTTTATAGTGCTCTTTGAGTGAATAAAACAGTTGGATTCTTTCTGTATGACTGAAGAAAGCTCTAAATTTATCCTTTTGAAAGGATGTATGCATTATAGATTATGAATATATCTGCTTAACACTTCTCTCATTTCTGGACGTTTAGGTAGTTTGGAGTTTTTTGCTATTTTAATCTATGCTGTTATCTGTGTTTGTACAATACATTAAAAAAACACTTGGATTCTTAAAAACAACAACAACAACAACAACGAAAAACCACGGATTCTTGTTATCTCCTCAGAATGTGTTCATTCCTAACATCCGAGTCTCTGAGCCAAAAAGCATGAACGTTTTTAGGGTTTTTGAGAAGGATAGCTAAATGTCTTCCAGATTTACCCGTTTAGTCCTAACTAGTCTGATGACAAGGCTTGTTTCTATCTATACCTTGACAAACGTGGGCTTGCAAATCTTTCGAATATCTGACAATCTGATAGATAAAAATGAGAGGTCACTGCAGCTTTAATTTGCATTTATTGGTTTTATAAATTTAAAAATTTTATTTTTATCTGAAGTATACTTGACGTATATTAGTTTCAGGTGTACCACACAGTGGCGCAACAATTACATACGTTACTCAATGCTCATCCTGAGCAGTGGAGTCACTATCTGTGACCCGTTACAAAAGTATTGTGATACTATTACAGTATTATTGACTGTATTCCCTATGCTATACTTTTCACCCTGGGTGTTTATATTATAACTGGAAGTTTGTGACTTTTAATCCCTTCCACCTGTTTCCCCGCCCCTGCCCTCCCCACGACTCCTCCGACTCCGTGTTCATTCTCTGTATTGATGGGTGTGTTTCTCTTTGTGGTTGTTCTTTGTTTATGCATTTGTTTTATTTTGTAGATTTCACCTGTAAGTGAAATCACATGGTCCTTCTCTGTCTGACTTATTTCACTTAGCATCCTACTTTCTAGGTCCATCCATGTTGTTGCAAGTGGCAAAATTTCATTCTTTTTATGGCTGAGTGATGTTCCATTGAATATAATTGGTTCAATTTGCATTTATTTGAGACCGAGTAAGACGTTTTCTCCCCCATGTTCTTTGGCCATTTTCACAGTTACGTTGCTAGTTCATGTCACGCAGCCCTTTTTCTACTAGAGGTTTGAGGTTTTCCTCCTTTATGTTAACTTACTATATTTTTAGGGTATCAGCACTTTGTCATATATGTCTCAATTTGTCATTTGCCTTTTAACTATTTAACTATTTATGATACTTTAGTTTTTCTGTTTCACTTTGAGGTTTATTTTAATATACATATCTTTTGAGGTATCGTTGACATACAACAAACTACCCACATTTAAAGGGTCCGAGTTGGGAAGTTTTTGCCTTATGTATACCCCTGCCAGGCCGTCACCACAATTAAGATAATGAACACATTCACTGCCTCAAAGTGTCCTCATGCCTCATTGTAACTCCTCCTTCCACCCGCCCCTCATATTCGTAGGCAACCACTGGTCTGCTTTCTGTCATTAGGGATTACTTGGAGTTTTCTAGAATTTCATATAAATGGAATCAGACAGAATAAACTTTTTTGGGTAACTAGTTATTAAAGAGTTGTACATTTAAAAGCACAATGAGATACCACTACATGCTTACTAGAGTGGCTAAAATTTAAAAGACCGACCATATACCCAGTGCTGGTGGCAAGTAGAATGTGTACTTTCCCTTGATGGTGGGAATGTATAATGATGCAACCATCTTGGGAAACAATTTGGTATTTCTTCTGTTTTTTTTTTTTTTTTAATTTTTTATTGTTTATTTATTTTTGAGAGAGAGACAGGGCATGAACAGGGGAGGGACAGGCAGAGAAGGAGACACAGAATCTGAAGCAGGCTCCAGGCTCTGAGCTGCCAGTGCAGAGCCCGATGCGGGGCTTGAACTCACGAACCGTGAGATCATGACCTGAGCCAAAGTCAGACACTCAACCTCCTTAGCCACTTAGGCACCCCTGTTTCTTCTGTTTTTTAATGTTTATTTATTTATTTATTTATTTTTGGGGGGAGGGGCAGAGAGAGAGGGTGACAGAGAATCCCAAGCAGACTCCAGGCTGTCAGTGCAGAGCCCGACATGGGGCTCGATCCCACGAACCGTGAGATCATGACCTGAGCCAAAATCAAGAGCCAGGCACTTAACCAACTGAGCCACCCAGGTGCCCCCAGTTTGGTATTTCTTTTAAAAGTTAAACATTCACCTACCATGTGATCCAGCCATTCCACTCCTACGTATTTACAAAGGGAAATGAAAACATAGGGTCCATACAGAGACTTGTACATGAGTGTTCACAGAAGCTTTATTTGTAATAGTCCTAAACTGGGAATAACCCAAATGTCCATCAACAAATCTGGATAAATAAATTGTGGTATATTCATACTATGGAATAGTACTCATAAATCAAGATAAATGAACTATTGATATATGCAACAGTATGGATATATTTCAAAATGATATTTTTTGACGTGGAAGTTTAATATTTTATGCTATATAATTAGCTTAATTGTATGTGATTTTTTCCTTTATTGCTGTACTTAGAACTTTCTTGCTCTCAAATATTTAACTATATAATCTTTTTTTTTAAGTTTTTAAAGATATTTTATTTATTTTTGAGAGAAAGTGAGAGAGACAGAACACAAGTTGGGGAGGGGCAGAGACAGAGAAGGAGACACAGAATCTGAAGCGGGCTCCAGGCTCGGAGCTGTCAGCCCAGAGCCCTACTCGGGGCTCGAACTCGCGCACCGTGAGATCGTGACCTGAGCCGAAGTCGGCCGCTTAACCAGGCGCCCCGCTATGTAATCTTTTAATACTTTGTTTTTCACACTGTCATTTTTAAACCATCTGGAATTCATTTTGGTTTGAGATGTGAGGTAGGGAATTGGCAGTTCCGTGTTTTTGTGTGGTTAGCTGGCTTCCAGGATTTCTTGGAATTATTTAGGCCTGAGTGTTCTGGTTTGTTTCTCTCCGGGGGAATTTGGCATCTGTCATGTAAATGTTATAGAAAATTCATGGGCATCAGGATGTGAGAGGAAACTTATCCTGCTTTCCAACCCCCTCCCCCCCGCAAAAAAAGTCATAATTTTCATGAGTTTCATTGTATCCTTTGAAGAGATAGTTTGATATAATGGCAACCATTGTATAAATGCTATTTTGGATCATGTTACTCGTATGTACCCTATTCTCTTAAGTATTTCCATTGTTCGTAACTATATGTGTTATTAGTATATAGTGTTTCGCCGTTTAGAATTTTCCCGTTTTCTTGCCATTTTAAGTAACGTTGCATTGAACAGCTCCGTGCCTTTTTCCTTCCTTTGAATAACTTGACAAATGGATAGATTCCTAGAAGTAACGTTAACTGGATTAAACACGCAGAAGTTCTGTTTCTTTGTTCTTATTTCCACTTGACTTTCCAACAGGGCTGTGCCAGTTCCTATATTGTGAGGGGGCACATTTGCGTCCCAAGCACCATTGCGGCCTTGCTTTCTGAGACCGTTACCGATGTTGGATGTCTGCATTTTGTCCGTTTTATTACACAAACGAGTAAATGAATACCTCATCAGCCAGTCAACATGGCTGGCCAAACCGTGCACCTTCAGCCCTCCTCTCTCTCACCTCCTGCTTTGTGGCAGCCATGGAGGTGCACTGCTCAGACCTCCCTTCAAGAGAAGCGGCTGTGAGGATGTAGCTGGTGGACAGCCTCCGGTTGCCATACTTCCAGATCTGCAGTAGCATTTACCCAAGGCCATGTTCTCCAGGGGCTGCTCCCAGCCCTGGACTATACCCCAGGGGATACTCGAGCCTGGAGCTCCTTGCCCTGGGTGGGGCTCCTCTGAGGGGCTCCGAGCCTTTCCATCAGCCCTAGACCTGTAATCTCAGGCTCCTCCTCTCCAGTCCTCCCGTCCCTCTCCTTTCACAGGTATCAGACCCGCATTGCAGTCTGAAGGCTCCCCTGCCTCCTGCTCCTCCCCTCCTCCTGCCACAGGTGTTTCCCCCTCAGTGAAATCGTTTCGTGCCTACCTCTGTCTTGGTATTAGGTCTTAGAGCCCCCAGACTGACAACATACCCCATGGAGGAGTCCAACTGGGAGGCCTTCGTGTGGGCTAGATACAGACTCCAGGGTTTATTAAGTGGATGGCAGAGCGTTGTAGAAGACAGGAGCTTTGAGATGGGCCATAAACCGGAGCCGCGGAAGGAGGGAGCCTCCACCATTCGTGGGGGTGGGGCTAACAGTACTGGGACGACTTGGAGATGGTGTCGCGTTGTGCACCGCGGCTGTGGTATCGTAGATCGTGGTCGTGGCGTCGTAGCCGTCGGTTGCTTCTCGGTTTGGCTTTTCGTAGCTGTTCTGCAGAGCTGCTTCGATCTGTGGACAGGCGGTGGCGCGATGGGCCTCCCGTGGTCTTTGGTGCAGCACTGTTTGCTCCTGTCGCACATGAAGGTGGATCTCTCCAGGGAGCTGCAGTGCAGCCTGCAGGGTCCTGGGAACTTGCGCCCACAGCCCGACCCACCCCCGCTGGCTGCAGAGGAGAAGTTCAGGGTGGAGGCAGCCCCGGGGCCTGCCCAGGGATCGGGGCCGTAGGGGAGCGTTTGGCTTTTTATTCTGAGATGGCCACTTGAGACAGCAGGCAAATGAGAGGGGGGAAGTCCGGCAAGAGGAGACAGGACTTGCCTGGACTGACGGCCTCTGGGGAACCCCAAGGAGCTCTTTCTCCGCCAGTCTCCGCCTGTGACATCACTGTAGTTGGTGCCACAGGATGTGTGGGTGAAATCGGGGTGTGGGGAGCCGGGTCTTCATGGCAGGGAGGAACCTGAACCCTTGAAAGGGGGAGTTGGGGCTATTCTTACCCCCCGGCCTCCACTTTTCTGCCTCATTTGTTCTCAGGGAATAGGAAACCAAGTATCAGCCGACCCAGGGCAAGGAAAAAAAAGGTCAAATCGTTCCCCAACGCCTTAAAGGGAAATTAATGATTGCTACTTATGGGGTTTTTATGCATTCATACACTGCCGGATACCAGGGGCCACCTTCTGGTTAAATCTGATGGCTGTGTCTTAGCTCCGTCTGCCATCACCTCAGCAGTGGCATCTTCTGAGCACCGTTCCTTTCTGGATTTCTACGCACCCATTGCCTGGCTGTCTGATTTCTTTCTCTCTGGCTCTGCTTGCTCTCCTCACCCCAGGGTTCAGGTGGAGCACCTTGTTTGCCATCCTGTGTGAACTTGCCCTCTGGGAGGTGTCTTCGCCCTGCCTGCCAGCACTCTGTTGGGCATGGGGATGGGACCCTTGCTCCTAGGCCCAGCCTCTCCTCTGAGCACTAACTCTGGGGCTGATGAAAGTGGCAGAGAGAGTGGCCTTCTCAGCATCTTAGGAGCTTAGATATAGGGAGCTCACATAAAGTGAGAGAAAGGTATTTTGGACCAGGTTGAGGTTGACTTTTGTCTTAAAACAGGAAAAAAGTTTGAGGACTGGTTTTTGTAGAAGATCGTACACAGGGTAGTGGCTGGGTACGGGGTATTGAGGCCGGTGGTGAATTTTGAGTGATCCCTACCTTAGGCTGGAACTCAGGGGGGTAAGTCCTGCCTCCAAGCCTCCACCTGGCTTGCCTGTCACCCGAGCAACCAGATCTGTTAGCATTCCTGCCCCCCAGCCCTCCTCCTCCATCCAGTTTACCTGGAGTCACCAGGAATCCAAGGGATGCAAAGACCAGGAACAGGAGCTTCATGGCCGAAGGGATGCCTTGGGAAGCATGGTGGCGGTTTAATGGAGTCCGGCCCCTCTGTGTGATGTGCTTGGAGCTACTGCCTTTATAGGAGCCACATGATGCCAGGATACTGGGCAGTGAACCAGAGGAAGAGTTCATTGCCACCCAGAACAGTCAGATTAGATCATAATGGCTACCAGTCTGTAGCTGTGATTGATTTATTGAGCGCTTGTATTCTAGGCTGTTGGGAGGGGAAGAGGCAGAACACAGCACCATCTTTCAAAATATGCTTCCTAGCCAGTGTCGGCAAGGGTGTGGGAGAAACGACTGCTCTTTTGCACCGCTGCTGGGCGTGTTGATTGGTACTGTTTTGCTTTCAGAGAGCAATTTGGCAATATGCACCAGGAGTCTTGAAAAATGCCTGCATTTTGCCTCGGTAACTCTATTCCTGGACTTCGGTCTAACGGAAATAATCGAACAAATACACAAAGAGGTCTATCTCAACATTGTTTACAATAGCAGAAAGCCAAAAGCATTCTAAATGTTGGTGAAACATGGATGCAACTGACACCATACAGTGATTAGACCTATTGCAGGGACTCATTTACAAGGCGGACGGCTCACTAAAGACACGCCAACACTTCCTGTTTCAATTAGAAATATGTGGCGTCGCAAGAGACGGGCAATTCAACTAACAGTGGCTTAACTCATAGAAGTATCTATTATTTAATCAACAACAAGAAGGGGGTGATTTGGTGGTGGGATGAAGTTAGTCTTGGATCCTTCTGTTCTGCTATCCTCCGTGTGTAGATGCGCTGATTACCAGTTTATTCTCTTAGCCCCAAATCCACCCTTCTTTGTCCTGCTTTGCGATACTGGATTTGAACCCTGGAAAGATGCCTCTTTTGCCAGCTGGCCCTGTGTTAGGCTTTGACAGTGGAGGGTGTTGGAAGTGAAAGAGCGGACCTAGGCCGGCCGATGGAAGAACACCACAAACCGCTCATTTCATTCTGGGTTCCAGTTCTCCATTTTTAAATTCAGCCAAGGAGCCCCATGGCTCTCAGCCCAGCTCCAGCCCTGCTCAGGCCATGCTCCTTCCCCCTGGTGGCCACTCCAGTAGCACCACTGGCTGTGTCCTCAGGCAACTAACTGCCTCTCTGCCCCATGGCCACCTCTGCAGATCAGCTCTGGCCAGCTCCCTCTGGGGAATTTCTTCATCACTGCTCTGTGGCAGCCACGTCCGCTTTGAAGAGAATGTGTGAGGTTAGTTACTCCACTGGAACCCGGAAGTAGCGAAATGTGCTCTTTCCCTAACATTAATATTGCTGCTACTTCAGGTCCATAATCATTTACCTTTTATTTTGTTGATTAGGTCACTTAACAGTTTTTATTTATTTATCTTTTTTTTTTTTTGGGCGGGGGTTGGGGGGGAGTAATGCAGTAGGCCCATGTTTATGCCCACCAATAGAAATAACAGCCATTAACTGATTGACCCTTATGACTAAATGGGACATTTCCTAGACTGGTCACCATATCCCTTCTGGGATGTTCTTCCAATTTGCAAAAATGACTTTCCTTGTTTGACCTATGGATACATGACCTGTACCCTAGAGGAGTGAGCAACCATTCCAAAATTTCTGGGACTCACCATGATGCTTCCACAGCTACCCTCTGGAGTGATGAGGGAGTGACTGTCTTGGGCAGAGTAAGAGATCCAGCCCTCTAAACCCTTAGATGTTGCCTTATTCATGGAGGGTTTACAATTAAGCTGAAAACAACAGTATGAAACCTGTTAGTCACGCTAGACAGAGATCACCAAGGAGATTACCTTAGATGTACGATTGACCAGCCTGGGTTCCTTGGCCGACGTATCTTAGAGCCAATAATATTCTCTTGACTCAGTTGGCCAGCTAGGGGTGGCATTTTTATATTGGCTAATACGTCATGTTTTGTATTAGTTAATGCCAGCTGACTGACCGGGTTAGAATAATAAGTTTCTTGCAGTCAGGAATCGGTAGAATAGTTGACCTCGGCATGCCATTTAGTACTGTAGAACCACTTCTCTCGGCTTGGTCTGGGGACCCTCAGTACCCGGTTTAGGAAAGAATTCTAATCCTGCTTATTATTCTGGTTATCTGTTGCTATATAACAAACTGGTTTAGTGGCGAGAACCGCAGTAGTCGTTCACTTAGCTCCTGACTCTGCAGTTTGGGCAGGATTCAGTAGGAGAGGCTCATCTCTGTTCCGCATGGCGTCACCTGGGGCACGTTAGCTGGGGCTGGAGGATCTACTTCCAAGATGGCTCGTTCATATGGCTGCCAGGGTGGTGCTATCAGTTATAAACTCAGTGGGCGTGAGGGACCTCTTCATTTAGGCCTCCCCATGTGGCCTTCCTTACAGAAGGATGGCTGGATTTCATAGGTGAGCATCCCAAGAGATAGGGACTAACTTGCTGATTGCCTCATCTTTAATAGGTGTAACTCAAAGAACATCAATCAAGGCTGAAGAATCAAGTGATAAAGGTGTAGACATATTTGGCAATGTAGAGATAACATTGAGAACATTGAGATAACATTGTATTGACTCATATTGGATGTTTTGGAAAGGGAGGAGAGATAAAAAATAAGCTAATTCTATCATTGTTCTAGAAGGAAACCAGTAGATGCTGTAAAAAGAAAAGGACATCTAAGGATATGTATAACGTTATTGTTATAAAGATGACCACTCAAAAGTCTAAATTTAATTAAATATCTGAAACCTAAATATCAGAAGACCACACACACACACTACCTAGTGAATGACTTTTTAGAACATAAAAAATACATAAAGTATTTCAGAATTCAGACTGAATATTATTTGCCCTATCCATAAATATAGATGCTTAATTCATTCACCCTGAAAATTTCATATTAGATCATAAAGCATACCCAGCGCTGCACTGTATATAAGATACCTAAATTTCTGATTCAGAAAGAAGGGGGGTTCTGTCTCAAAGTGTTACAGACATACCAGTGCACCTGTCTTGTCTGCCCCCTTGAGACCTGGAGCAAACTGGCTTCTCCTGGAGTGACACCACTGCCCTATAAGCTGGAGCATGTGTTGGGGTCATGGTAACCTCTGTCTTCTTGGCTTGCCCTTCTTGGAACCTCTGCCTATGAGGAGGGAGGGTGATCACAGTCCAAGTATTCTTGACTTGGTGCTCCTAGGGGAGAGCCTGCACCCTAGGAGTGGGAGTTAGGTGGGGGAAGGAGGTCCAGTCTTTTGGACTGTGCTTGCCTTGACTAGAGTTGGGGTGAAGGCAGGAATGAGAGATACTTTTCCTCTGGTGAAACTGGAACCCTATCTTTGGAGTCTGGAGGGAAATAGTCACTGTCTTCTGAGCTGCCCTTGCCAAGAGTTCATGGACATTGTGTGTGTGTGTGTGTGTGTGTGTGTGTGTATGTATGTATTGGGAGCAAATGCTGGCCCCAGTGTTGCTAAATTAAATTACTAAATTTAATTTTTATTTTATTATAAAATTATTTTATTTATTTATTTTTAAGTAGGCTCCACACCCAAGGTGGGGCTTGAACTCATGACCCTGAGATCACAGTCACATGCTCTATCAACTGAGCTAGCCAGGCATCCCTATAAGGGTTTTTTAAATTTGGTGTTTCAGAGACTCTTGAGTGACTAGTTCAGTGCAGAAATTCCCTGGCCACCCACCTCCACATATTCCCACGTGTAGGAACCCTCCAGATTTGACAGGTGGTTCTCAGACCTATTTGCCTGGTCCTGTGGTTTTCAAACTATAGCACGTATCTGAGTCATGCAGAAGATTGGTGAAAATACATGTTGTTGAGCTTCTACCCCCAGAGTTGCTGATTCAGTGGGTCTCAGGTAGGTCTAAGATTGGCATTTCCCATGGTGTTGCTGCTGCTGGTTCAGAGACCACACTTTTTTTTTTTTTAATTGAGGTATAATTGAATATGTTATATTAGTTTCAGGTATAGAATATAATGATTCTATATGTGTATAGAATTCCTATAGATTTAATTCTAATGCTAATTAGATTTAATGCTAATTCCATTAGCACACATAATTACAGAGTTTCTGTTCTCTTACAATGAGAACCTCAGATTTGCTCTTTTAGCAACTTTCAAATATGGAATACAGTATTATTTTTATTTTTATGAAAAAAAAATTTTAATGTTTATTTTTGACAGAGAGAGAGCCAGAGCATGAGCGGGGAGGGGCAGAGAGAGAGACACACACACAGAATCCGAAGCAGGCCCCAGGCTCTGAGCCGTCAGCACAGAGCCCGACGCGGGGCTTGAACTCCCGGACCGCGAGATCATGACCTGAGCTGAAGTCGGACGTTCAACCGACTGAGCCACTCAGGTGCCCCTGCAATACAGTATTATTAAATATAGTTTCCATGTTGTACAGTACATCTCCATGACTTATTTATTTTAGAGCTGGAAGTTTGTACCATTTGGTCCCCTTCATCCGTTTTGCCCACCTCTGGCAAACTGCCCACCTTTTCCCACTCCCACCTCTGGCAACCGTCAGTCTGTTCTCTGTCTGTGAGCTTGGTTTTTGTTTGGTTTATTCCACATATAAGTAAGATCATACAACATTTGTCTTTCTCTTTCTGACTTAGCATAATGCCCTCAACCCATGCTGTTGCAAGTGGCAAGATTTCATTCTTTTTATGGCTGAATTAGATTCCATTGTATATGTAAACCACATCTATCCATCCGTCGATGGACACTTAGGTTGGTTCCCCTATCTTGGCTATTGTAAATAACCCTGCAGTGAACTGGGAGGTGCGGATACCTTTTCCAGTTGGTGTTTTTATTTCCTTCAAATAAATACCCAGAAGTGGGATTGCTGAATCAGTGGTAGTTCTATCTGTAATTTTTTGAAACACCTCCATGTGGTTTTCCATAGTGGCTGCACCAGTTTACGTTCCCACCAACAATGCTCAAGGGCTCCCTTTTCAGAGACCACATTTGAGAACAACTGGGTGAATCTTACATCCAAGGCGGGATTTTCTCCATGTCGGGGCACATGTTAGTGCTTTTATTGTTGTGCGTGTAGCCCACTTTCATTTTTTTGTTTGTTTCCTCACTTCCATTTCTTTCTACTCTTTTTTTTTTTCACTTAGTTTTGCTGATGATGTCATCTCTGTGTGTGCGTGTGTGTGTGTGTGCATGCACATGTATGTATGTATTTGCTATTGTTGGGGGGAATGTAATTAAAAATAAAATCTCTTCTCAACCCATAAAACCTCCCCACAGACGTAGAAGAGAAAGAAAACCGTTTTGTCACTAAATAAGCATTAAACTGGGACGTGATGCATACCGTAGACAATCTGCTAAGAGATTGCAAAGACCAAAATCTTACCCATTTCTATAGCCAAGAAGATACAACTCATTACAGACATGTTCTCAAGACAAACACTCCCTAGCCCTGAAGAGGACCAGAAAGTACCATTTGTCACACATTGCTGATCCTAGATTCACTTGATACGTAGAGTGGCTTCTCTGTGTTTGCTGATTGGTTTCACCCAAAGGAAAAACAAAATTCTCATATCCTTGTGGCAGGTGGTAGTTTTGAAACTTAGAGCGAGGAGCCTGAGGAACCTGCTGAAGTTAGGCTCCTACCTACCCACAAAAACTGTGACTACATTTCAGAGAGGTGGCTCCCAGGTCTTTGAGAAAGACATTCCTGGGTTGTAAAGTGGTCAAGAAGTCTATTTACATTAAAAAAATAATAATAAATGTTTTAAAGAAAGAGAAGGAACTTACAAGTTTTCTAAAGTAAATGCTCTAAGAAAAGGGAGGGGAGGGGTAATAAGTCTCTAACAGGGAGAATTAAGGCTCTTTCTTTTTCTAACTTTAAACAAATTTTCATTACACAAAAGTTGCCACATAGTTGGCTGTTTCTCTACTTTGTACACAATTATTCTTGCTCTCCACAGAAAGACTGCTTCTTAACTTTTCATCTGGTGATGGCAAGTATGAAAATCCCGATTTTAACATCATAGTAGTAAAAATGCCTCTTTTTATTCAAAAGTACAAAATACATTCTTTGTGAGCATGGACAATGACAGCAGTAAATCAGAATTTGTTGTCAACCGAAACCAGTAACTGATGGTTATCATGATTTTCTTAAACACCAGCCAGACTTTTCTTCAGTCATTTCCTCCAGTGGAATTCTCTGAAGTTATTGTTGAAGGGCCCTGCCTTGAGTTTCCTCTCACAGTTCATTCATAATGGTAAGGCACTGTTCTAGGAATTAGAACATTCCACCTTCCATACCCCCTCCCAGTCTACCCATTCCACCCATTCCTGGGTCCTTTTCTTCTTTAGGAATTCCGGTGACGACGACTTCTGCTATAGTTAACAGAAAGGCAATTCTAGCAGTATCTAGTAAAGTAGTTCTTACACCCTTAGTTGGATCAGTGACTCCTTTTCCCACCATCATTCAAAAAATCTCCAAAGCGTAGCGTCATAACCAACTTCTAAGGGACTTTGCATACGTTTCTCAACTATCAAGGATCATTCAACACCTGCATTCTTAGCAATGGTCATCGCAGGAATTTTGAAGATCTTCGTTAGCTGGAGTTATTGGATCCAAGGCTGGAATGCACCAAAGCAGGGCACAGCCCCTTCCCAGAGAATCTTCAGTAGCAGCTCGTGGAGCATTGAGGGCATCTGTAACTCTGTCTTTCTTTTCACTCACTTCAACATCATTTGTCCCAGCCTTCGGCACAGCTACTCTGAGAGTTTTGCCAGATGTTCATTCAGCTTTTCTTTTTCATATTCACTAGTTGTGATATCTAACTGTTGATTTCAAGTGATTTTTTTTGGATACGTTTTTCAATTTGAGCCTTGTTACCTTTTCTTTTTAAGAGCATGGAATCATCTTTGGTCATATTGACCTCTCCAACTTTTCCTAAGTCATGAAGCTGAACATCTTCAAGATTTAGAGTCAATCTTTCTTCCCCAAACACTGCACCACCAGTAGCAATAGCCATGTCTTTAAGCAATTTTTTTTTCTGTTGTCACCAAAACCTAGAGCTTTGGCTGCTTACCACCTGAAGACCAACTTTTAACCTATTCAAAACAAGTGTACTCAAAGCTTCTCCGTGAACATCTTCAGCAGTTATGAACAGGGACTTGCAGTGAGCATTGGCATTTCAAGAGCAGGTACAACGGACTGGACACTAGAAATTTTCTTTTTTTTCTGTTTTAGACATTTTCTTTTCACTCAGTAGAACATAGTCATCTTGGAATTCACATTTCTTTTTTTTATATATTTTTTTAATGTTCATTTTTATTTTTGAGACAGAGAGAGACAGAGCATGAGTAGGGGTGGAGCAGAGAGAGAGGGAGACACAGAATCCGAAGCAGGCTCTAGGCTCCGAGCTGTCAGCACAGAGCCTGACGCGGGGCTTGAACCCACAGACCGTGAGATCATGACCTGAGCCGAAGCCGGACGCCCAACCGACTGAGCCACCCAGGCGCCCCTCACATTTCTGATCTTTTGCTGTGTTAATGAAGTACAGAGAAATATAACCTCGATCAACCTTTATGCCTTCAACAATTTCTAATTCATCGTTTCGTGTTTTTCCAACCTTTACTGTGATGACACTCTCTCTTCCAGCCTTTTTCATTGCATCGGAAATGATGTTGCCAACTTCTTGGTCTCCACTTGCAGAAATCTAGCCATGTGAGCAATTTCTTCTGGGGCTGTCACAGGTTTAGACTGCTTCTTAAGTTCAGCGCTTACAGCATCAACAGCTAGTATCACACCGCTCCTGACGTCCACTGGCTTAGCACCTTTGCTAACCTTCTCGAAGCCTTCCTTGGCAATAGAGCGTGCCAGGACACAGCAGTAGTCGTGCCATCGCCAGCCTCTTCGTCTGTGTTATTGGCAACATCTTGAACAAGTTTAGGGCCAATATTTTGATACTTATCTTTTAAGTGCATGGACTTTGCAACGGTCCTGCCATCTTTGGTTACTTTGGGACTTCCCCAACTCTGTTCAATAATCACTGTTCTTTCCTTTGGCCCCATAGTAACGGCTACAACATCCGCTAAAAGGTCTATACCTTGGAGCATTAAGGCTCACGTATCTGCACCAAATTTTGTATCTTTGGAGGCCCGAGTGAGACGAGGAGCCAGTGCCCTGGATCCTGGTCTACTTTGGCAAAAGACTGCAGGTAACTGAAACATTTTTGCAGGGCAGTGGCAGGGCGTGCGGGCAGCAAGGCAGGCCATCGGAGGCGAGTGAGGCAAGGCTCATCTTTTTCATTTGTGTTTACCCTTACACTATCCTGCTTGCTGTTGGCTTTAAGGGAGGATTTGGGTGTGTAGCAAACTATTTTCAGTATGTATATGCCTTTCTTTCAGTTCCAAAAAGTTAATTTTGATGTTTTTCCTATAGGTTCTTGTATTGGATGCTTATTTTTATCTTCCCTTTATGTATTTGTGTTTTGTGTCAATTACATAAATAATATGTAATATCTTTTCTTTTAATCCTATGATTTTTTTATTTTGAAAGAGAGAGAGAGAGAGAGAGAGAGAGATCATGAGAGGCGGAGGGGCAGAGAATAATGAAGAGAGAGAGAAGCTGACAGTGTGGAGTCTGATGTGGGGCTTGAACTCATGAATGTGAGATCATGACTTGAGCTGAAGTTGGATGCTTAACTGACTGAGACATCCAGGCATCCCAATCCTATGAATTAAAAAAATTTTTTTTCCGATGTTTATTTTTGAGAGAGAGAGTGAGACAGAGTGTGAGCAGTGATGGGGCAGGGAGAGAGAGAGACAGAAACACAGAATTTGAAGCAGGCTTCAGGCTCTGAGCTGTCAGCACAGAGCCCGACGTGGGGCTTGAACTCACAGATGGTGAGATCCTGACCTGAGCTGAAGTTGGATAGTTAACCGACTGAGCCATCCAGGCGCCCCAGCTGTGAATTTTTAAAACATTCAAAACATTTAAAACATTTTAAAACAACGTTAATAAGAATTGCTAAAATAAAAATCCCAACAACACCAATTGCTGGCGAGGATGTGGAAAAAATTGTATCTCTTGAATTGCTGGTGGGAATGCAAAATGGCCCAGTTACTCTGGGAAATAGTTTGTCAGTTTCTTTTAAAGTTAAACATCAACTTCCCATTGGACCTAGCAGTCCTACATGTGGGTATTTGCCCTAGTGAAATGAAAACCTAAGACCACCCAAAAACCTATAAACAAATGTTTATAGCAACTTTGTGACAGCCCTAAACTGGAAAAACCCAAATGATCTCAATGAGTGAAAGGAGAAAAAAAAAAAAAATCTGCACTAGATCTCTAGAATATAATACTATTCGGCAGGAAAGAGGAATGAGTCATTGATGCACATGGAAAATTGGATAGACCTGAAAGACAAGCTGAGTGAGAGAAGCCAGTCACAGAACATTTCATTCAGCGGGTATCCTAGGAAACAGCAAAACCACAGTGATGGAAAATAGATCAATGGTTGCTGGGGGTTGTGGTGGGATAAGAGTTTGAATAGAAAGAGGTATTTTTTAGGTGATGAAGCTATTATTGTATGTTCTGTTCGTGGCGGTGGTTACACGAATCTAAACGTGTCAAAATTCAACACCGGGGAATAAGGCGGGGACTTGGTGTGGTGCTACGGTATCTTTCGTCTTGGGTGTCTGTCGTGCCTTTTGCCCAGCTTCCAACTGCACTATGTTGGGACAGAGCATCTGGAGGTTCACAGCCTCTGTGGTCTGTAGGAGCCACTCTGAGGAGGGTCCAGGGGAGAATTTGCCATTTTCAGTGGAAAACAAGTGGTGGTTACTAAATATGATGACTGTGTACTTTGGATCTGGATTCACTGCAACTTTGTTTATAGTAAGACACCGACTGCTCGAGAAATAAGAATGTTTTAAGTAATCCATTAAGCAGATGTGAAAAGGAACATTTTAAGAGGTGCGATCTCTTTTCAAACGCTTGAATTCAACATACCCGGTATGTTTGTTAATGAACTTGAGGCATGAAAAACAACCATGTCAAAATTCAAAGAACTGTATGCCAAAAGAACAAAAAGCCAAATTTACTCAATGAAATTGAGCAAATTATACAAAATAATTGTATCATCCTATGCTTATGGGTCCTTAGCTTCCTCGCGACAATTTAATATGTCCAAGAGCTCTTTTCACATCTAAAAATGTGGATCCTCAGGATTCTTTCTAATTTTACATCACTCTACGCATATGGATGTACAGTGGTTTAGCTCAAAACAGTACCCTTTTGATAAACTTGTATCTTATTTTTCCCATTTCTCCTTTTACAAACAAAATGGGAATGATTATTTCCCATCACATTTTTTTAAAAGATTTTATTTTAAAGTAACCTTTACCCCCCAACATGGGACTCGAACTCACAACCCCGAGACCAAGAGTCGCATGCTCTACTGACTGAGCAGCCAGGCGCCCCTCCCAGCACTTTATTTTTTTATTTTATTAAAAAATTTTTTTTTTTTAACGTTTATTTATTTTTGAGACAGGGAGAGACAGAACATGAACAGGGGAGGGTCAGAGAGAGCGAGACACAGAATCTGAAGCAGGCTCCAGGCTCTGAGCCATCAGCCCAGAGCCCGACGCGGGGCTCGAACTCACGGACCGCGAGATCATGACCTGAGCTGAAGTCGGACGCTCAACCGACTGACCCACCCAGGCGCCCCTCCCAGCACTTTAAATAGTTCTTCTATTTGTGGTCATGCTGCCAGTTCTACGCACGGTTTAATTTGATTTCTTTTGCTTTTAATTTTTAGGGATTGCTTTAAAAATTTTGATATTCTTATATTAGGTTAAATATTTAAATGATTCCAAAGTCAGATCTTCCAAATAGGGTATATTCAGAGAAGTCTAGCTTTTTTTTTTTTTAAATCTGTCTTCTCTGATTCATTTCTTCCTGCTCCTCTAAATAGATGTGCACTTAAATTTTTTCTTTCCTTTTAAAAATAAATGTATCTAATGCTTTTGTTTTCATCTCCCTTCCCTTCCATCACTCTCTCCTCAATATGGAGAATTCCAGGTTACTTACGGTCATTGAAGCCAGGAACAAGGGAGCAGCAAAAGCCAGAGGCAAGAACTTCATGCCTGAAGGATAGGGACATGTTTGGGGACAGTGCAGTGGGGTGGATGGACAGAACTACCTATGTCACTTGCCTGGAGCTCTAATCTTTATACGACCTCAAATGAGATCAAAAGTTGAGCAGTGAGCAAGTAATAAAGTAAAATAAAGCAGAAATCTCCGCCATTAGGGCCAAAGGATTTGGTCAGACTGTCTCATTGGCTACTGCATACATTTGCGGAGTTCTCACAGAATATCTGGAAGACTAGCATCCAGTCTTTGAAAATACACTTTCTAGCTACTGTTGGTAAGGGTGAGGCAACACAGGGACAACTGAGTACTGTTCCTGTGAGTTTAAATCAATGCAGTATATTTTGGAGAGCAATTTGCAATATATATTCAATGTCTAAAACAAAGTTAAACAGAACAAAACTATGCTACTCTTTGACCCAGAATTAACACGCATAGAATAAATGGATAAGTTCACAAAGATGTCTAAGTACTATATTTCCTTCTTAGCATTGCTCCTAATGAGGATGTGAAAATGTAAATGTCCGTCAATAGAGAATTTGCTGATTTATGGTACATAACACATTAGAATTCCATGCAGCTTTAAACAGTGTTAATCGAGGGCCTACAAGATTAAAAGCTGGTGTGATCTCTTTGAAAAATGAGTGAAAATTAAGTGAGAAAGGAAAGTTATGGGATAGTATGAGCTAGTCTTTGTTATATGTATTTATACATATGCATATATATGCATAAAATATAATCTGGAAGGATATGTACCCCCAATTTTAAGGGTCTTTATCTTTGGGAAGGATTATTTGTGGTTTTATTTTTTGTAATTTTATGTTTCTCTATATTTATGACTGTTTCTACTATTGTTGTTTGTTTCTCTTGCTTTTTACACTCCACATGTAAGTGAAATCATATGGTATTTGTCTTTCTCTGTCTGACTTATTTCACTTAGTATTATACCCTCTAAGTCCATCCACGTTGTTGCAAATGGTAAGATTCATTCTTTTTTTTATGGCTGAGTAATATTCCATTGTGTGTGTGTGTGTGTGTGTGTGTGTGTGTGTGTGTATCTCTATCTCTATCTCTATCTATCTCTATCTCTAATCTATCACATCTCCTTTATCCATTCATCTGTTGATGAACACAGGTTGCTTCCATATTTTGGCTATTGTAAATATTGCTATAGGAAACATAGGGGTACATAAGTCTTTTTGAACTAGTGCTTGTGTTTTCTTTGGGAAAATACCCAGAGGTGGAATTGCTGGAATGTATGTATTTCTATTTTTAGTTTTTTTGAGGAACCTCCATACTGTTTTCCGGAGTGGGTTTTTTGAAAAATTTTGAGATGAATATACTTATACAGCAATATTTGCTTTCTTTCCTGATTAACACAAAAGATTGATTGGATTCAAATCAGGTTCACTGGAATCCAAGATCTTTCCTGTGTTAAGCTTTAGTAGCAATTTCAAGGATACAGGTAATTATGAAGCACAGGGAAAACATGCAAAAGTCTCAGGTGTTCATGTCACTTCCCAGCTCCCATGTGCCTCATTAGAATGAGCTGTGGATTGGGTTTAATGCAGGAGATTTCTGAGTGATGTCTAAGTGATGCATGTGAGCGTATCACACAAAGGGGGATGTTTCCTTAAGAAACATTTCCATTTTAGTCTCTGAAAATTACATAACGTTATACATGCATGACATCTTTTAAGGAGCCATGTCTTTATAAATTATAGATTCCAGGTTTGTTCACTAGAAACAATTCTAGATGTATTCAGAGCAGATTATTCTGTTAGCTAAAGACTGCTGCTAGTGAATGCTATTGGTGAGTTCTCTGGGTCTGCTTGCATGTTTAGAAGGGGATCTGATAGAGTCAACATTATTATTTTTCTTTCTTTCTTTCCAGGAGCATCCCTGATAAAGGGAGAAGATTGATTGTAGGACTGTTGTTAACCCCTTTCTTCCCATCTCTCTCTCTTTTTTTTTTTTTTTTTTAAATTTTTTTTTCAACGTTTTTATTTATTTTTGGGACAGAGAGAGACAGAGCATGAACGGGGGAGGGGCAGAGAGAGAGAGGGAGACACAGAATCGGAAACAGGCTCCAGGCTCTGAGCCATCAGCCCAGAGCCTGACGCGGGGCTCGAACTCACGGACCGTGAGATCGTGACCTGGCTGAAGTCGGACGCTTAACCAACTGCGCCACCCAGGCGCCCCTCCATCTCTCTCTTTTTTTTAAAGTTTATTTATTTATTTTGAGAGAAAGGGAGACAGAGAGAGAGAGCACAAGGGAGGGGCAGAGAGAGGGAGAGAGAGAATCCCATTGCTAGTGTGGAGCCTGATGTGGGGCTTGAACTCACAAACTGTGAGATCATGACCAGAGCTGAAACTAAGAGTCAGATACCTAACCAACCGAGCCACCTGGATACCCTATTGTTTCTTCTTCTTCTTTTCCTTCTTCTTCTTCTTCTTCTTCTTCTTCTTCTTCTTCTTCTTCAAATTTTTAATGTGTTTTTAATTTTTGAGAGAGACAGAGACAGAGACAGAGTGTGAGTGGGGGAGGGGCAGAGAGAGACACACACATAGAATCCGAAGGAGGCTCCCGGCTCTGAGCTGTCAGCACAGAGCCTGACTTGGGGCTCGAACCTACGAACCGCGAGATCATGATGTGAGCCAAAGTCGGATGCTCAACTGACTGAGCCACCCAGGCGCCCCATGTTCCTTGTGTTTCTTTCTTTTTTTTTTTAAAGTTTATTTATTTTTGAGACAGAGAGAGACAGAGCATGAACGGGGGAGGAGCAGAGAGAGAGGGAGACACAGAATCGGAAGCAGGCTCCAGGCTCTGAGCCATCAGCCCAGAGCCCGACGCGGGGCTCGAACTCACGAACTGTGAGATCGTGACCTGAGCTGAAGTCGGACATTCAACCGACTGAGCCACCCAGGCACCCCATGTTTCTTAATAACAATTTTAAGTACTTTCATTGTCATGGTTCCTATTCTGTGCTCTAATGCCATTTCTCCTAAATTCCTTTTACAGTGTGTTAGCCAGAAAGAAAGGCAATAATCCAAGTGTGAACTCACCAGGTCTTAAATTTGGCAAATGTAGGAGTTGTCCAAGTTCTTTGGGTTTATTAAATCCTTTAGGATAGGCATATTTGCTCCTCTTCCTCTTTGTAATGGGTGACTAGCAGATGTCACGATCAAGTCCTTTATAGCTTTTTCTAAGCTGTTGCTAAAAGTCCAAGGTGAGGTGGTCCATGTAGGTACCTTAGTATATAACTGGCACTGGGCTCATGCTCCAAAACTGTTGTCGCTGGGAGTTGGGGTTGTGTGGCAACTAAGTGCAGGGGCTCTGTTGTTAGACAGGCATGGATTCAAGTCCTGGTTCTACTACTTATCTGTGACCTTCAGCAGTTTTACTAAAACCTCAGTTGCATTATTTACAAAAATGTAAGATTCTCAAAGTTCTCAGTACTGTACTTGGCACTTTAAAAATGTCCGATAACTCTTAAATACTCTCATTATTAGTATTGCTTTTCTATAGATCTTCTTCCTGGTTGCTATCCTTCCCTTAGTTCCCTGCGGTATTATAATAGAGCACTTATTAATTCACTGGGTTGCCTTTGAATTGAGCTTCCATTTATTGATCTTGTTCACCAGATCCCTTTTTAAATTTTTTTTTTTTTCAACGTTTATTTATTTTTGGGACAGAGAGAGACAGAGCATGAACAGGGGAGGGGCAGAGAGAGGGGGAGACACAGAATCAGAAACAGGCTCCAGGCTCTGAG